CCCCCACCTCCCTGAGCACCTCCTGACCCCCACCCACTCTTCCAGCCCCATCAAAGGCTGCTCCACCTGGCCCCAGTGTCCTGGCTCTTTTTTTTAAGCCCCACACTCACTGGCTGCTGTTGCAGTCATCAGGGCTTTTGGGGTCTTGTGGCAGAGCCTCCCACTCAGCGTGGGACAATCTGGGGCAGCGGGGATTGCCCCCCTGCCTGGCAAGAGCTGGTGAGTGCGGGACTTTAAAAAAAAAAAAGTGAAAGAAAAAAGTGTCAGGATGCTGGGTGGGGGAGCCACTGATGGAGCTGGGAGAGCAGGTGGGGGATGGGGCCTGTTTTTTTCAGAGATTCGGCCTATTTGGCGGCGGCCGAATCTCTGAATCAGATTTGGCAAATCGAGTCACTGTCCCCTGAATCCGTCAGATCTGAAACGAATACTGGCTGCGTCGCACAGGCCTAATATTTAGTATGTGGCTGGCTACTCAGGGAGAACATTGGTTCCCTGGAAGTAACCCAGTGAGAAGAATTCAGTTGCAGAAAGAATTCCTGGAACACCTTTCAATAGCAGGAAGGTCTCTCCTCAGGTAGGGATGGAAGTACCATACTTTCTTGCATAATGTGTCCTAGAATAAGGTTCATACCTTGTTTTGGAAGGGCAGAGTGAAGGACAAAAGATCTTCCCTTGTAGTAAGTAACTGAGTAGCAGTGGATTGTGTGGATCATGTGCAGAGTTACTTTCATATTTGCCTTGTAAGTGGCAGAAACTGCCTTTAGTGTATTTCTCACATATAATGTGCACTCCAATTTTCAGCAACTGTTTTTTGGAAAGAAGGTGTGTATTGTATGTATGAAATCATGGTGCATGCTTAACTAACTGTGCAAGTAGTTGCACTGAATTCAAGACTTTTTAGAATGCAGGCTTAAAGTGTGGCTTCTGATTAAATCTCTCCCTGAATTGAGATCTAAATGTATTAAGGTCTTGTCTGCATTAGAATGTTTTGCTGATTGAAGTAAACTGGTTTAGCTAAAGTGACAGACCTCTTGCCCAGAATGAACATGGTTATACTGGAATAAAAATACTTTCTAGCCCACTTGTATTGTTGATCAGGAAGCAGATTAAGCTATCCTGGCTTAAGGTACATTCATACTGATATCAAAGTGTCTACACTATGGGGTTTTTTTAATGCTCTTTTACTAAAAAGCACATCTGTAATCAAAATAAGTATGTTGCTGAAACTGCGTAGACCAGGCCTAAGAAAACTAGCAAAGAAAGAAATGGGGAATGTTGCAAAATTGATTCATGTGCATGCGAAAGACAAGGATTTTTGTGGGTGATATCTATTATTGGTCCAATTGTATGGTTGGTATAGACATATACCAACATATGTATAGATGCATATTAATGTATACAATTTTTAATACATTACAGGTGGGTATATTGATGCATAGGGCCAGATCCCTTTCCACCAACCACCCATTTAATTGACGCCTAGACATCCGAGTCTCAAAGTGTGATCCTCTTCCACCTTGCTGAAATTCTTGACAAGTCATTGACATCTTCAGGCAGAGATGAAAGGATTAGACAAGTCACAAAACACAGTGAAGAAGGGGACCCAGACACCTTTGGCATTACTGGTTTTAAGGGACTTGAACACAGTGGAACAGACTTGTGGTTTCATAGATTTCATAGACATTAGGGCTGGAAGGGACCTCAGAAGATAATCGAGTCCAGCCCCACTCCCGAAGGGCAGGAAGTCAGCTGGGGTCGTAGGATCCCAGCAAGATAAGTATCCAATTATCCAATTTACTCTTGAAGGTATTAAATGTAGGTGCTTGAACCACCTGTGATGGCAGGCTGTTCCAGACCTTGGGGGCTCGGACAGTAAAGAAATTCTTCCTTAAGTTCAGCCTGAAATGGTTTTGCAGTAGTTTAGAACTGTTCGACATCATCATCCCTTGGGGTGCTTTGGTGGACAAACATTCCCTGAGAAGCTGGTGGTCACTCGTGATAAACTTATAGGTGGCTATCAGATCACCCCTGAGCCTGTGCTTTTCCAAGCTAAAGAGCCCCATGGCTCTCAACCTGTCGTCGTAAGGTCTGTTTTCCTGACCACTGATCATGTGCGTGGCTCTTCTCTGCACTCTCTCAAGCTTCTCCATATCCTTTTTGAATTGTGGAACCCAAAACTGGACGCAATACTCCAGCTGCGGCCTCACCAAGG